CCCACAGACCTACTGATTGCTGCATCGATATTTTGCCCGGTGTCAAGCTTCCAAAGCCCCAAATATATTCCATGTCCCCTAGAGAGATGGAGGAAATGAGAAAATTCATGGACCACCCAGAGGCAAAAGTGTCGACTGCGATCTCAGAGCATTGAGATCGCATGTCGTGTCATCGTGACTCCGGCTCCTCCCTCCACCCAAACCTCCCATATGTTTTAACGTCAAGGCTGAAGTATTATGAACAATTGATTGTAAATAGCGTTAAATATCAAATGATAAACCTGGGCCACGCTTTGAAAATGGTTTAAAAGTGCTTTGGTCTTTGTGTGAGCAAAATACCTTCCTTCATTCAAGCAGCTTAATTTTTTTTTCAGTCTTTCTGAGCAAGACTGGAAAAAATGGTAGGTTTTGGCTTGCATGAAAATCTGAAAAAGACTCCGCATTAAAACACAACAGAGAGGTCCTGTCTTCATGGAAAGATCAAAACACTTCTTCCAGATAATTTTTTGAAGCGTGTACAGTCCTATCAAATCATTAATGCATTTAATTTGTAATGTATTCCTAATTACTAAATAGCATCGCATATCAGCTGTCAAATACTAGCAAATGGTAATACGCCAGCAGTCAAATACAATCAAATATAGAATAGGAACTGCTTGTCAACCACAATAAACCATCAAATAATAAACCTTTTTTTTTCCAACTAACTATCAAGCACTGTCACATATCACATGCCAAAATGAGCTATCACATATTGCAATTAAGAATCATTCAGCATTAAATCTTTAAATGGAATATTAATATGCAAAAAATAACATTGCAAATAATGGTTTTTGGGGGGGAAATGTGATGTTTTTAATCCTTCCTTTTCCTCTCTTTCCTTTCTGCTATGGACTCAGCTCTTATAATATAATCATGAACAATTTACATTGTTCCTGACATACATCACTCGAAAGTACAAGGTCTGGAGATTGTATGTATCAGTAATATTTCATAACACTGAGGTAGGGGGAAAAAAAGCCCATTAACAAGCAATATGATTTATTTATATTCCTGTGGTGCACTGCTGTTAAAAATCACCTTTCCCCCCTCCTCCCCTCCATCTCTGGACAGGTGGATTGGAAAGGCTTGGTGTTTGCAGCTGACAGCTTCTATCCGAAATCTAGATAAGGTATCTTCAGGAGTTTCCCTCCAAAGAGTTTGAATTGGGTATTGATAAAAGATGGCGCCAGTCAAGTGTGCAGTTTGGGAATTGAAAGATGCAAAAAATGTGTTATTTATACTCAGCTTTTATATGCCAGTTGAGTAATGAAAGAGGCAGAAATCATACAGACGTGATGTGTTAAACGTCAGTGTTTTTAATCTGGCATTTGACTAAGCTGGTATTTCACTTGGGTGGTGTGACTATCTGAAATCCATGACAATTGTCGGTAAAGCGTTGTGTCTTAAGGAGCGCCTTCCCGCCCTCCCTTTCGTGTTTGGTTCAATCAAATACCTTAATAAATAATCCTGACCTGAGTTAGGATGGATGACTGAATGCCTGTTTCAATACAAAACTGCCATCACAAATACTGGGCTTTAGAAGAGGATCTTTGATGAATTAAAACTACAGTACTACATTCCACCACCACCACCCCAATAGATCTCTATTCAGTGACAACCAGATAATATTCGAGAAAATCCATTTTCAAAGCCAATGGTCCCCTGAAAGAGACATAGGTAGTCCTCAACCTGTTGTGACTCAGCAGAAGTTTGCTGTGAGTTGAGTCAGGATGCAGGATTAACAATGCAGCTGGGGCTC